GGATTTTCTACAACATTCACTGCACTCTTTATTCAGCAACTTCTATAAATGGGTCTAAAAATATTTATAGTAAGGGAAGTGGACTAGATGACTTCTTAATGGCACTTTCTGTAAAATATTTCTGTAATTTCTTTGTCAGGATATCACATTATTACAGACCTGAGCCCAGGGTTGAGAAGTCTTTCCACATAAGCCCATGCCTATTGAAATGCACTGAGGTATCCTTAGAACACCATATTTAGCTGAAAGAGATCCAAAAAAGAAGGGCTAGGTGCAGAAATAAAGGTTTACATGTTCTGGGAGTGCAGGTGGACTGGTTTTGGTGACAATGCCATGGGTGGGTTTTTTTCCCCCTCTTTTCTTTTTGAGTACACTTCCAGTAGAATGGCAAGGATATTTATCCATTTCAGAAGAATCTCTCTTTTTCAACTTAAGTTTGTACCTTAAAAGGATACAAAATTAAAATAGGTGTTATGATTTAGTTGCATATAACCTCACTGTTTGAGTTTATAAATATTGCAAATTGGAGTCTTGCTTAAAGAAAGGAGCAAAAATTGAATAAAGAGTTTGGGATTCAGCTGTAGAAAATAACCATAAGTATCCACGTTTTAAGTGGCTTGAATCCCAGTATTACAAGTGTGACTCTTGTTGGGGACTGGATATAGTATTATTCTAGTGATAAGTCTATTTTCTGCTTTTTGAAAAAGAATTTTCCACTAAGATTATGACTGCCAGATTTCCTACACCATTTGGTACCCTCAAATATTTTGGAGGCTCCCATCACCTTAATACAAGTTGTGAAAGGGATGATTTGGCCCTGGGACCATGTATGCGCCAGTTACTATGACACTTCAGACAGCTGGTAGTCTGAAGATCACAATTTGGAAATCCTTATGTGAGCAAATAACCATGTTCTCCACTTACTAAATTCATTTAACTAGCCACATTGTAAAATTATACTGTAAGCTATTCATGATCCTTGAGATGAAACATGTTACTCTTCAAATAATGCTTTACACTGAAATATTTATTCCTTGAGGGGGGAAAAAAAATCACAGAAATATCTTTATTTAACTGTGGTATCTGATTTTTCATATTTTTAACATATCCACCTAGTACAACTGATGATTGGATAGAGACATTCAGCCATAGGCATTTTAGAGAAAAACTTTTAAAGTCACATTTTCTTAATTTGAAATGGGTGATGGATAAAATGCATGAGAAAAGTCAGATTTTTCTGCCAAATACAGCATAGTGGAAATCTTCTTGCATAATGAAGTGTTAACTAAGTCATGCTTCTGCGGAATGATTTAAAGTGTGATTCCACCACCAAGAGATTGTAAAAAAAGCAGGGCTCCATGGTGTCTCGGTAATTTCAGCATAAGATATGCTGAGTTTGCAAAGAAAAAAGGTGGGAATGTTTGGTTTGGGAATTTTTCCCCTCCTAATTTCCAGTCCCCCAAACTCCTCCTTTGGGCTTTTTACATCTCATGCATCATTAGCTGGAATAAATTATCATCGGGCTAAATTGCATGATTAACTATTTTTGAGTTGGCAGTAGAGGGAGAGAGACTTTAACCTGCACAATGGGCAAATTTGGTAGGAAACAACTGATAAAATACTCAGTCACCTCACTAGGGCACTTTTACAAAAGAATCTTTTATAGAAGAACCAGAACTTTAAGAAAAGCATAATAATGAGATAAAACAAGTTTGTATAAAAAGATGCATGATATCCCCGTTTCAGGAAAACTCACTACAATCAGAAAATTACCAGTTTTATGGATAAATTTCAGACTGCACTATAAAACACCAGGAAAAAAAAATAATCAGAGAATTGAGAAACACACAGCTAAATAAAATCTTGATAATGAATTATTTGCTTAGGGAAAAAAAAAAAAAAAGAAGAGAGAATACTTTTTTTTGCAATGCAAATACTTTACACAGAAATGTCCTAAAAGAGGTAAATCTGAATAATCTACTGAAGTGTAATCTAAAAGGGCAGAAGATTATAGAGCGCAGGCACTATCTGTCCCTCCACCCTGTTTAATTTGTGGAAGTAAAAAATTAAGAGGCAGCACGTAAAATCTGGTCTCTGTTCCCTACAGAGACCAGATTTAATCGTACTTATAGAGAGAGACCACGATTTTTTTAAACAGCTTTCTGCTCTTTAAAAACCTCCAACCATAGTACTCAGTATCTTGGCTCTGCCCGTGCAGAATCTCTCCAATCCACCCCCCAAAGCAGCAGCAGCAGAAGGAAACGAATGGTGATTTTCTGGGGAGAGGGCAGATAGGGCCCATCGGCACCTCCCTCCCCGGCCCATTCCCCACTGCTGGGGCAGGGGGAGAGGCGCAGCGAAAGGCTGTGACTACGGCGAGTAAGGCAGGAGGTGAGAGGGGCTGGAAATGCAGTGTGCTACCCTGTTATTATGAGTGCTGGGAAGTGATCCACGCTAGCAGTAGTTTTTTCTTCGTAATTTATGTGTTCTGCCATAATGTTTTGCTACAGTGGGATTCAAACTATTCAAAGTATTTTTAATTAAGGAGGACCCAGAAAGGAAGAAAGCTGTATTCGTATGAGGAAATAGGAACAACACGGAGGTTCTCATGTGAGCCAGGGTTCTAAGGAAACTATTGTCAATGAGGCATAAGGCTGCCTGCATCTAGACTGACTTACACTGTGGTGTAAATACTTAGACCTAGCTAAATGATGTAAATTTGAAGCAAAGTCAAAAGCAGGACATTGAACAGGCTATAGCAGTGCTATGAAAAAGCATATACTTGCCAAGAATGAACACTGCCTGGCAAAGCACTCAGACCCTGATTTTTTCTGCCTAAATTACACCTGAACTGTTGACTAATGTTACGCCAAATGAAATTTAGGTTTGATTAATCTATTCCTTCATATCTGCTTATTGTAGACAAAAGTAAAGAATTATACAGAACAAACCTAAATATTTTTCCTAAATTAGAGGCTTTTATGTATGAAGTTAACTTCAGTGAATTTGCCATGGAAGCAGACCGTCAGGCTCTAGTGTGCTGTACAGAGATAGAGTTGGTTTCGTTTTTTTGCTACGCAAATTATTTCTGTAGATTTACCTTGTCTATAATATTTGCTAAACTGGAAGTGCAAAAACAGTTGTAGAAGTTATCTGAGAAGGGGAGAGAGGAATTTAAAATGAAGAGCTTGTGTTTTACTTTGCTTGTAAAGTAGAAGCAAAGGGAAATTTGGGGATAGTGTGTATTATGTATGCCTTATGACACCTGAAATAAAAGGGAAAATTGCTTTTTTACATCTAGAAAGAATGTAGAAAGAATGTTTCTATAAGAGTCTGTTTTGGTAGGAACTGCTAGTTTTCACTGGTGGTTAAAAAAAAAAAGGTACCGCAAGGTTAAATTTCCTGATTTAGATACTAAGTAAAATGCTGATAATTCCTTCCTCAAACATGAGTACATAAATAAGTTATACAAGAATACTTATTTTGTTGTGCAGTATACTCATAAATATTAGATAGAAAAAAAAATTCTCAGTTACAGAAAGCAACAAAAGCTAGCAAAGTCTCTTGAGTTTTCCTTTTATTAAAATAAATCAGTAGTCTTGCTTGGATTCTTAAAAATAATTATGTCCAGAATTTAACCATGTTTAAGTAAGTTGACTGCATAGATCTTCCAAAGAAAGAAAGAAAGGCCCAACGCTACAAGTCAGGTTTTTGGAGAAAGTTTCTTGGTTTTATTCTGGTGGGTTAAAAAGTATATGTTAACTAAAGCATGGTTTCTGTTGATTACTTGATAATAGTTTGTATGGTCTGTGTATAAAAAAATTGCAGATTTCTGTATGAGGCTGTTTTGGTAGGAACTGCTAGTTTTCACTGGTGGTTAAAAAAAAAAAAAGGTACCGCAAGGTTAAATTTCTTAGGAACACTTTAAAAAAAATCTTTGACATATGTAGCAAGAAGAAAGTGTTATTAAAAAGATGGTCATTTAAATGAAATCCATTTTGTTTAGACTGGAAACCTAAAAGGACAAGACCGAACAAGACTCTCATGCCCCTTTTTTTTTAAAAAACAAACAGTCATACCCTGAAGTGTTGACTGAGCTGTACGCTGTTAGTTCTCCTTGACTTTAAAGGTACCCTTCACTTCGTCTGCGCTGTGTGATAAGGATAGTGACTTCTCCTTTCTTCTAACCTGTAGGAAGATCCTTAGGACCGATTTGATTTGGGGAAGCTGAGAACAGGCAAGTTTCTGATACTCACCTTGTCCTTATGTAACAATTAGTAGAAAAGGGTACTACTGCCCCTTCATGTTGAGGAAATGGATTGCAAAGGCCAGTAGTGTTGGGTGGTAGAGACAAAAATCTCAAAATGGTTAAGCAGTTTCATGGGAAATGGAGAAAGCTAGAGAAGACCAGAGATGTTGCTTCCTCTACGTTTCCAAAGATTTACAGGGAGCTACATAAAACGTCCTGGCTTCTGAATTATGAAAACACATTTATTCCTAGCTGGGGGTTGCAACCCCTTATAAGAAGGCAAATACGCCCTTTTCCCACAAAGCCTTCCCGCTGCAAATAGAGATGTTAGACCTTCATAATTAAAGTGAGAACTTCATTCCACATATCTTTCAAACCCGGTTCTAGTACAGATGGACATGTTTTTCATAACCAGTTCTGGCCATAGGAAATTATTTCATTTTACAAGGTGGATATAAAAACCATGCTGCACAGCTCACCTCCTCTACTGCTGTTTCCTGCCAGTTGCCTGGCATCTCCCTCACGGGCCAGTCTGATGGGCCAGTGGACAGGAATACCTCTGCTTCTTACAGCCTCTGGTGAAGCCACCTTGCTTGGGGTCATAGCAAAGTCTAATGATCCTTCCCCTCCACTCAGCACTGGTGAGGCCACACCTGGAGAACTGTGGCTCAGCTTTGGCCAATGGCAGGTCCCTCTTGCAGCCGGCTGGAACCCCCCCCCCCCCTCCCCCCCCCCCCCCCCCCCCCCCCCCCCGCCGCTACCAAAACCTACACACATAAATCCAATACAGAAACACAGAAAGAGAATTTAAAAAGGGAGAGGGCACAAGAAACATAGGCAAGAATTAAAAAATAGGGACATTGAACCACATAGAGCGAGACGTTGAAAGAAAATTTTAAAAGCGACATGTGACAAGACATTGCAGGAGGAATTCATCAATGATCTGAACGAGGGGATTGAGAACACCCTCGGTAAGTTTGCAGATGACACCAAGTTGGGCGGGAGTGTTGATCTGCTCAAGGGTAGGAAGGCTCTGCAGAGGGACCTGGACAGGCTGGATCAATGGGCCGAGGCCAACTGTATGAGGTTCAACAAGGCCAAGTGCCGGGTCCTGCACTTCGGCCACAACAACCCCATGCAGCGCTACAGGCTTG